TAACGAGGCACATTATCTATGGACATCCAAGGGGGAGTGTTATAAGAAAAAATCAAATTATGGTGGATTTCTACTCTTCTCCATTATCTCCATAACTTATACTGCTCTTATATTTATGGAGTTATGATTGTAACTCCATGATCTTCCTCTCAAATGCTTAATGACATATTCAATGACATATTTTTCTTCACTTTTCATCCCTATATGCCTTGTAATAGATAGAAAAATACACACAATTAAAGAACAAAATCTCTTCTTTCTCTCTATCTCTATTTTTTGTTCATGTTTTACTTTTATTGCTTTTATTCATAACACTTTCAATTTACATGTAAAATTCTCGCCGACCACATCGCCTCGACAAGCTTTGTTAATTACTCTTAACCACTAAGATTTCATCACTAAATTCACGAATCTTGGAACTTCTCGACTATTAGACTTATATGTATGCTAGTAACATTTGATTATCTTAAGATGAATCCTATTTACATTTGAGTCGTGGACTCAGCCACTGATGATCGCATCATGGTAGGTGTTAAAGGGCTAATTTTCCTCAAACGGCAGTAAACGGCAGCAGCCTCACACTCAAGCCACTCAGCCTTACTTTTTCCCTCACAGTTTAGGACTTAGAATAATTTCAGACTTGTAAAACGAAAGCAACACACACAATTACGGGTAAACACCTAACCTTTTATTATTCTCTCATAATCTACAAAGGAACTCAGTTGGAAGGCTCACATATGTTTACTTGCCTTAAACCAACAAAATACAAACATATAAAGGGGCTGCCAATGGTAGGTTATAAGGGGCAGTTACATCAATATGCTTGGCACATGCCAAGACTATAAACAAGCATACAACACTTAGCGACTATCTGAATCACTTCCCACGAAATGAGCCCATCTTTAGCACTTTAAGCCAACTGCCACATGTGCACTACACATGGCTTAACTTCCACAGCACATGCACATCACACTTTTTCATAGTCACATATTTTGCACACTTATCCCATAGTTCCGCCCACACTTTGTCTTTAGCTTGCCTTGCCTTGCCTTGTCTTTTTGGACAATGCCTCACACATTAGCTTATGACAATGTTTTTGTCACAGCCTTGCCGTCCCACTGATCCGCATGCGTGCCTTGGCCAAGTGCCATGCGCCTGCCTTCATTTGCCATACCTCTCGCCCACAACCAAAGATGCCTTGCCACCACTCAAGACACCTTTTCCACCTGACCTGCCCAAGTTCATGCATTAACTTAGGCACACTCCCAGCTCCGCACATTGCTTGCCAACGCCTACACGAACCCATGCCAAGGGACAATGTACAAGCCCTTGACATTGGTTCTGCTCGACATCTATCACGTCTTAACATTCGGGGCTAACAGACCACCCTCACTAGTTGAACTCGATGTCCTCGTCGAGGCTGACTTCAAGTAGTCCTCTATTTGATGTTTATATTACCACAATGAAGCACCTTTTTCCCAAGTCGCATTTGCCTTGGGCCTTCCTTTCCACTGAATTAGAAATTCGTCCGCCTATTCTTCTTATGCATCACAAGAACCCAATGGTCAAAAATCTTCTCAATTTCTTCCTCAAGCTGAGTGCGCACCTCAGGAGGAGATCTCTTTGTTTTGTGTCTGTCCGGATCTTTAGGATCTTCAACATATGGCCTTAGAAAACTCAAATGGAAATTCAGATATATCTTCATTCTTTTAAGCAGCTTCAATCGGTAAGCAACTTCACCAACTTTTTAAGCAACTTCAAAAGGACCATCATACCTTGAAACCAAAGCTTTAACAGCACCTTACCACCTACTTTGAACTCCAAGGGACGCCTATTTCGGTCACCAAATTTCTTCAATCGTCTATGGGCCTTTGTCAAGCTATATGTTGCTTCCTTGATCATAGCTTGTCTATCCCAACCATAGCGGTAGGCAGCTTTACCTCCAGTCTTTTGTTGTGCATCGTTGTTGGTTGTACAGGCTGCTTCCCCAAAATAATCTCAAACGGAATCATCTGTGTTGCTGAAGACTTGTGCAAATTATAGGAGAATTGTGTACAAACTAGCAAATTTGTCTAGTTGCGTTGACTAGCAGTCCCAAAGTGCCTCAAATATTCCTCCAACAAATGGTTAATTCTCTCGGTTTGGCCATCAGTTTGGGGATGATTCACCGTTGAAAACTTCAAGTTTGTACCCATTAAGTTGAACAAATAAATCCAGAACCAGCCTGTAAATCGAGCATCCCTCACTAATAACATCCTTTGGCATTCCGAAATATTTAACCACATTCTTGAAGAACAAGTCAGCAGCAATCTTTAAAGGACATTCTCTAGGGGCAGCAATAAAAACAGCATATCTAGAAAGCCTATCAACCACAACCATGATAGATGACAACCCGTTGACCTTAGGGAACCCGCTGATAAAGTCCATTGACACAGATTGCCATGGTTCCTCTGCAACAGGCAGAGGTTGTAGCAAACCTGCCTCCGTCTTCCGCTCAGTTTTATCAAGATGACACACAAGGCAACTCTTAACATAAGCTTCCACATCATGCTCCATCTTGGGTCAAAAGTAGTATCGGGACAGCGTGGCCATCATTCATTCAGTTCCTGGATGACCAGCCCATAGAGTATCATGCGTCTCTTTCAATAGTTCACGACGCAACCCATCACCAAGTGGCACTACGGTTCTCTCCATTTTGAAATAGAGGAGATCGTCCTCGATCCAATACCGCTTTACCATCCCTTCTCTCACATGATTCATTTTCTTGATGTACAATGGATCATTAGCAGCACACAACTTGATTTTATTAAGAAAATCATATTCAAGTCGAGTAATGGAATAAACAGCAACAAATACCTTTCGACTCAACGCGTCGGCAACTTGGTTGTGTTTTCCCGGCTTGTGCTCCCAAATAAAATCATATTCTGCCAAGAATTCTTGCCAACGTGCTTGCTTCGGAATTAGATTTTTCTATATCTTGAAAAATGTATTAGCCACATTATCCGTCCTTACGACGAATTTAGTTCGCAGCAAGTACACCCGTCAAATGTGCAAGCAATGGATTACAATAACCATTTTTTTTCATGAGCCGAATATCTTTGCTCCGCTTCATTCAATCTTCTGCTTTCAAACGCCACTAGGTGGCCTTCTTGTACTAACACACCTCCAACAACTTTGTCGGAAGCATCATTATGAACTTCAAAGGGCAGTTCAAAATCTTGAAGCTGCAAGATAGGTTCTGAGGCAATAGCTTCTTTCAACATGTCAAATGCACCATTGCATTTTTTAGTCCACGCCCACCTAGCATTCTTCTTCAACAAATCAGTCAAAGGAGCAACATCCTTTGAATAGCCAGCAATAGATTTCCGATAATAATTTGTTAACCCAAGGAAAGATCTCAACTCTTTCACAAAATTAGGTGTTTGCCACTCCACAATGACCTGCACCTTTTTCGGGTCCATCCGCACTTGATTCTGGCTCACCGGCCAAGTGCCCAAGAAATTTGATCTCCTATCTCGCAAACTCACACTTCTCCATTTTCACATACAACCGGTACTCCCTCAAACGAGACAACACCTTAATTTAGTGTGACATATGTTCATCCAAAGTCCGACTATAGATGACGATGTCGTCTAAATGCATAGAGATAATGCTTGCATTATTTTTTCTAATACCTCCTACCAAACGACCCCTTATTCACTTTCTTTCTTTGTTCAAAGACTTAATTACTCACTTTCTTTCTCCAAGATTTCATTAATTCAAGTGTTTAACAATTCTTTTAAAATTTTATGCCTCACATTAAACTTTGGATTTAGGTCACATATGTGCTTGAACCGTCCATAAACTGACCGTACTCCAAACCGAATCAATTGAACAAGTAGAGTATACTAAGGGGTCATTTGCTTACCAGGTGAAATAGACAGGGATATCTCATGGGCTAGAATTTCCTATGGATTAGCTATCCCACCTAATTCTTTTGACCCTGTAACTTTAGGAGAAGAGAGATTCTCCATACTTCGATTAATAAAAGCGACATATACCAAGGGTAGCTAGCGCTTAATAAAAAAAAACACGAGATCCTGTTAAGTTGTAACACATTTTGTGGAGTGCTAGATCCACAAAGTTCTCGAAGCTTCTAGTAGTTGCACTCGAGTGAACAACAGGATCCATAATGTCATGGAGGATTATATAAATGTCTTTTACCTTGTCCATTGTATTCCTCACTTCCCTAACGATATAATTTCCTTTATCAATAGGAGATTTTCTTATAACAAGATTCAGTCAAAGACGGAGCCAAAATTTGAAGTTTATGGGTTCAGAATTTTAGTTCGTTTCAGTTACTGAGTTCTAAATTTATAATTTGCACACTTTCATAAATTTTTTAAGATAAATATAAAATTTGGACCAAAATTACTGGCCGATCGAACTCATAAGTGAAGGGCTAGCTCTGCCGCTCTGGCAGCAGTATTCCAAAGCTATAAATATCACTTTTCTCGGTCAGATGTTCTATCATGTGATATTCAATTTCTATGTAACCCTATAAATAAAAGGTTAACTTAAAATGGCAAGTACCTTTTTATAGCAAGTTTTATGGTAATTTGTGAGATAAAATAATACTACTATTACTATAATTGATAAAATTGTACTTTAATAAACAATATTTATATTATATGACTCTTTTTTTTCAAACAGGGTATTTAAATTTCTTAAATCAGAGAAGCCTCAGTAATTGTCTAATTGACAGTTTTTAAATTTTAAAATTAGTTTGCAAATTTTCTCCCCCATTGTTTCCCTTGTCCTTTTAAAAGTTGGGGTAGAAAATTTGAAATGAACTTGGCACAAAATATCTTCCCATGACGCCCATTATTATTGAGGTGTAACACCTCAATAGAATAAAAAATAAAAAAAACAAAATGAATCTCAATCCAACAACCACGTGTGAATAAGGCAGACATAAAAAATAAAAAATAAAAAATAAAATAAAAAGGGGGGATTATAGACAGAAAAAATATTTATTTGTCTTCATTTTCAGGTGATTGGGTCATTCCAAAACAATGGCGTTCTCTGCAACTTTTCGGTGTTCATCTTCTCTATGTCCTCCTCTGAATAATTCAACAATTTCACGCGCTTTGCCTCGGTCGTCTTCTTCACTTTCTTTTCGATCTTCGCCTTCACTTTTCAACCGCAAAAAATCTTTGTCTATTCGATCTGCTACACTTGAAGGTAATCTTTTACATACTTGACTTTTGACTTAGTAGCTTAATAGTACATTTTTTTGCTTGAATTAGGCTCTTTTTATTTGAGTTTCGCAAAGTATAGTCTTATTTTAAGTTCGGATAAAGGAGGAGATTTGTGGTATGTTGATGGTTAGATTAAAATTAATTAAATTATGATGAATTATTGAATGATAAGAGGATTCGTATAGGCGAACGTCTCAACAAATTTGGGATTAAGGAGTAATTGATTTATGATTGAAGTAAATATAAGCTGTAATTCTTTGATTGATTATGCTTGTGGAAAGAAGAGAATTTTTGTAAGCTATGAAGTACAGTTGAGCTTAGTCTATTGCAATTTCTCTTCATGATTCTAGTCGTGAAAATAATATGCTGTAAATCTCTATTAGAATCTTGTTTCCTCGCCCTTGAACTGCTTTTTTTGTCCCAAAATCAGGGTTGAAAATAATAGTTTTAGTTTGAAACTTGGATTTTAGACTTTGGACTGACAATTATGCAGTAGAATAGATGAAATTGGATTTTCCCCCCCTCATGTTGTAGAGGTCGTTTAGGATATAATTTTCCCAGCTGGGATTGTACCTCATGGACAATCCAGTCTTTGACTCTCTTTGTCACTTGATCGGTTTACTAGTTAATAGAAACCTTATCATTTTGTGAAGAGAAAAAATAAGATTCTAGGTTTGATAGTGCTTGGATATTTTAATGTGGATATGTTCTAATTTTTTAGTAGTCTGCCTCAAATTTCTCAGTTAGCTACTAGAATAAGGGATTTGCTTTTGCTATTTTAGAGGTGAAGAACAATCACTTGTTTCTGCATTACTTTTGAAAATAGAAAATGAAAGAAATGATATTAACTATCTTGTCAGAATAATATGTGTACATAAACGTCATCAAAGTAAAAGAAAATTCTGAAATATATTGTTTTGGGAGCGTGTAGCGTGAATGATAAAGCATGCAGGGGGCATTCTCGGGATGTGTAGAGCAAACAATTCAAGGAGTAAATTGTACGTGGTTGAACACCCCACTTTTTGAAGTGTTAAGTGTTGACGCCATGGGAGTTAAGTCTCCAGGCTGTAATTCATTGAGGCTCGCAAGCGAGTGTTTTAAACATTGTGCAGGATTATGAGTGTGTAAGTTACCTTGACAAAGGTACACCAACATATAAGCATAACCAGCATACTCTCATGATATTTTGGGTGCTTCTTTATCTTTTTAATTTTTTTCATTATACATAGGGGGGAGGGAAAGGAGATTACAAGGTAGGGAGTCGAACTCCCAAAAACAAGGTGGAAGTTTAGGTAGCCAAACAACTAGGCTGTCATGATTCCTCTGCATATATATAAAAATATTTTGGATGGTTCGCAACAAAGATAAGGATATAAGATGTGATTTGAAATATAATTAAGTAAAATCTGCAGAAGAGGGCTTTTAAGCTTCAAAGGTTAGCTTAGGTTTATATTTTCTGGTTTCTTCTCAGTAGTTGGTTGATTCAGTCTTACTTTCCGCCCAGCACTTTGCGCTATTGGAATAGGAAAGACTACAATCATTTAACCCTAACTCACCCTTTCCTCCAACTGTAGTTACACCGACACTGGCTCCTTCATCTACTCCTGTTCCAGCTCTTATACATGCTGTTGTGACCTTTCAAACCAACTCTTGGTGCCTGCTTTATCTTGTCAGTGACTAGGTGATATAAATTGCTTTTGCCTTTAATGACCAAGTCTCACAGTCATGCTTGGTGTGAATTCTTGGTGTGCAACATGTTTCTGTTGAAAATAAAGACTATATAAGTTTTTAATCTTACATTCTAGGAAACTGTAGGATTCAGCCAAAATGAGGTGGGAAATGATTACATTGTATTGAAGACTTGGATGGATGGTATTTGTCCCTCTATGCTACATCTTTCTTGCTAAGGATTTCAAACTTCTAATCATATCATTTGATTGTAATTAGAGTAGAATAAAATTCATGAACTCTGAGGAAAAGGAACAGTTCAAGGTACTTTGAGAAAGGCCCATTACCTAATTCCAGATTAACCAAACTTTTTGAATTCCATATCATCACTCCTAAGAAAGTTTTAGTCCTTCTTTTCAGAAACTTATATGAGAGAGATTTCAAACAGTATGTTCTCTTTTCACTTCCCACCACTCAAGAAGCAGTTCAAAGAAAGTTAAGTGCCATACCCTAGGGAAGAAATAAAATCAGCTTTGATTACTTTTCTTGAATTTAACTGGTTTCTCTATTATCTCAATTTATAAATAACATATTTGGGGTGATGAACAAGTTGATAAGAAATGGCTGGTAAGGATTGTTGCATCAAAACCGTCATAAATGAGGTGAAGGCTTGTATCTATCTAGTTATCTCTGCTGCGCTTAGTAAGTCAAGGATGACTATACTGGCTTTTGTACCTTTTATCCATTAAAAGAAGATTATGTGGTGCTTTTCAGAGCAGTCTATGTTTTCTTCTGTTGCTTCCGTAACTTTAACACCAGGGAAAGGGAACAATCTAATAATAACATCTAAAATTTTGCAGTAGAGCCTGAAAAGGAGCTATCTCATTTGTCAAATGGTCTTGGAATAAGAGCTGCAGCCTCAATTGACAGAAGATAATCTTTGTAGTTGTTCCAGGATTACGACTATATAACTTTCAACTGTTGGCTCATTGTCTTACATTGTAAAACTGAAGAAGAAATAAATTTTGCGTTTGTATAAATGATGGTATTATTAATCTAAAAATGGTGTAAGCTGGAATGCCCTTGCAGAGGAAACAATTCATCTTCCATTTGTAAAAAAAATGAGTTTACTTCATGAAGACAACCAATTAAAGTTGCCATAACTATTTTTCAATCGGTATATTTCATTTGCCTAGTTCTTTTCTGCCAGATATAATTCATAATTGTGTAGTATTTACATATGTGTCCTTCCAATCCAAATCTTGCTCAAAGGGCTCTTAGCTTTCAAGTTATATTATCTGCTCGAAAGTGATTAGGAAAAAGTTATTATATCCTCTCGAACTAGACTAGAATAAGATCCATGAACTTATGAGGGAAATAATGATCAAGTTACGGTGAGAAATTTCCATGCACTCAAATTAGCCGAAAAAAAGAAGCACCACAGCATAATCTAAAGAAATTTTGAGTGTTTCACCTCAAATGTAAAGAAACATGTGATTTCAAATGTAATTGAATACAAATTGGAGAACGAAGAGTAATTTCGTGAGCTGTGAAGTTCAGCTTAGGCTAATATTTTTATGAATTCCATCCATGTTTCTGTTGAGAAGGAATAATTTCTGATGTTTCATCCTAGAATACTGATACCTCCATACCTTGATGCTTTCCGAACTAAATATGGAGTTCAAGAAGGATCAGGTCACCAATCGGTGACAGTTTAGGAATGAATATCCGTAACTCCCATTCCAGTACTTAAACTGACAAAATGGAATAAACAATCAAGACCTGGCTCAAGGCTAACCCCTCCACACTCAGGGTCAGGAACGGGAAAAGGAGAATGAGTAGGACAGGCTCGAGGTCACATCTTTCTTTTAGGAGAGATCCCACCCCCTTCTTTAAGGCTTGTTCGTTCTATAAGACTTCCTTCTCGCTCTCAGTGAATTTGATTGGATACACATTATATTTGTGATAGTGAAAGAAAACATCCTAATTGCTGTGACGCATAAAATAGAATATTAAAAAATAATTATAATCAAAGAAATAATTAAAAGTTAGCTTGATAGAGAAAACATCACGAAGAATTGAATAGTTAATGATTTTTAAATGTTGAAGTTATAAAATAGTTGTATAGAATAATATTATTTGTGGAATGGTGTGAATTTTTTTGAAATATCCCTAAATAGAACGAGTGTCAGATTAATATGTTAAGCAAGGAGTATATGATTTACAACAAAGTGAGGTGGAAAACTGGCAAGTCCCTTTATGCTAAAAATTTTCTTGCTAAGGACTTCCAGCTTCTATTTATATCATCTGAATGTGACTAGACTGGAATAGTTTATTTTTCCTATCCTAAAAAAGAAAGAAAGAAAAAACTAATAGATAAGACTCATGAACAATGAGGAAAATGATGGGTCAAGATACTGTGAGGGAGGTCGATTAGTTATCCAAATTTTTTGGTACCATACTCTTAAGTTTGATTGCTTCACTTCAAAAACTTATACGAGGAAGATTCGAACATTATGTTTACATTTTACAAGACTTAAGCTGGATTTCTGTACTATCTGCTTCCTTATTGCAACATCTGTCATATTTCTCGTGATTGTGTACCTCGAGCCAAAAGGATGAATTATTAATTGCATTTTTCTTTAGCAAAAGGGATGCATTTTTAACTGCAATTTTCTTTATCATTTTTATGTCTTTTGATCTCAAAATTGGTACGAGCCATAATACTTTTAATACTATGATTTAGTAAACTCTTAAGTTAATTTCTCTAAAATTATTAACTCGTTATCTTTTTCTTTTCAGAGTGAAAATAGTAAATGATGTTCAAGAAATAGTTGGAATATGCCCTTGACATTACTACCTAGGCAATCTGTTCCTCTCTGATTAGTTGCTTTTTTTCTAATGTATGCAGCAGCACCCGCATCTGGAGGAGTAGCACCTGCTATTTCCTTAACCGACAATGCATTAAAGCACTTGAATAAGATGAGGAATGAGCGGAATGAGGACCTGTGTCTTAGAATTGGTGTTAAACAAGGTGGATGCTCAGGCATGTCATATACAATGGAGTTTGAAAAACGAGAAAATGCTAGACCAGATGATTCGATCATTGAATACAATGGATTTAATATTGGTATGTGTCAATGTAGTCTCTCACTTGCTAACATGACAATCTTGGTTTCTTTTGCCATGAGAATGATTATGTTGCACACCAAAGTTAGAGCAATTTTGCAGTTCATTTATGTTGAATCTGGGTTCTTCTGCAGACCCCTAGTTCTTAACATGGAAGAAGATATATTCAGGGAAATGACTATATATTATTCATGGATACTCAGCCTTCATAGTAGTTGATGAGATAAGTTAGTTGTGTTCATTAAAGGAAAAGACAATAGGATGAGTAAAAAAACATGGATTGAATTAGTGGAATCGCCTGGTAAATTAAAGAGGTAATGGACGCATTATAACTTGAACATGACAATTACCATATAAATGAAAATGCAAAGATTTTTCAGGGTTTTAATGAGCACATATTCTCAGTCTTGTGGAAAACAGAGGGGAGGAGATCACTGCTCCAATGAATTATAACCTTGCCATAAAAACATTTGCAGGGAATTCCGCTTCTCATCTCCCTTGGAATTCCACTCTTGGGGATCTAAACTATGCGTCATATCTGGAGACTTGTGTGCTATGTAATGTTTGCCTGATTATCTAATAATGAATCCAGTAGTGCAATTACTTATATTTGCTCTTACATGCTTCAGCAGTCTCACACTATGCCGGTCTACTAGACAATTTAGTTCACTTTCAGATGGAATGTTACTTTAAGACCAATTATAATGGCTTTGATTCAGAGGGTTTGCGTTGTCAGTTTGTGTGACCTTTTACTCATCAAGTAGTTGAGCTATTTATAGTGTTGGGTGCATGCCGGAGACTTGTATAATGTCGCTCTTGTATTATACATTCTACCTCCTTGTCTGTTTCTTTTTCTGTTGATTATTTTTGACTTGATTCCTGAATTTTTGATTTTCTCGACTATTCTCGCAGTTTGTGATCCAAAAAGTCTTCTCTTCCTCTTTGGAATGCAACTGGACTATAGCGATGCATTGATAGGTGGGGGCTTCTCTTTCAAAAATCCAAATGCTACGCAAACCTGTGGTTGTGGTAAATCATTTGCTGCTGAGATGTAAGAGCATGTACTCCTAGAAATTTAGTATGACATTGACATACTAGAACACCAACTGTGGTTTGCTTGGACCACTGGATATAAAACAGTAATGAAGATTGTTAAATCATATAATGTGCATAGCGCCTGTAACTTTTAAACATGTGTTTCCTGGTAATATTTTTAACAATCTAATGGTGTAACTGGGAATGCATTTTATTCTTCCTTGCACCAAAGGCCAAACCTCTATACCATGTCGATTTATGCCTCGTGGGTGGGTTATGAGCTAATTTTAGATTAAAAAAAAAAATTGTGACTATCATATTATAAATGACTTAAAATCTAGGGTCGCGTGTGGGTCGATGTAAAACAAACGGATTATATAAATATTTCAATCAAACTTCTTTTTCTGTTTGTAACTGAATTGTATTAATCACCAAGTATCCGATAAGTATCCACAGCTTAGCTGCAACCCAGCTTGCAGTCGAAACAAAGTAGATAATCAACCTCTATTATACTTCTATGCACTGTTTCCAGCTAAGAATAAGAATATCATCATCTATCTATCTCTCAATTTCTATATACTAGCAGTATCCCCTTATCACTACTCCTGCACTACTTTTCTAGAAATAGAGATTTTGCAGTACAATTCTAGCCTTTCCTGGTGCTCTCACATCACACATGCTATCTCTTTGGCTATACACTTTGTACTCCTTGCATATTAACACACAAAAAATTAGAAATCGTCTTGAATTTCTGTTTTATGGCCCTCAAACGCCAAAAAATGAGGAACGGTCGTGGCGAAGCCGTGACTATTGTTCATTAGGTCTTTTCTGATAGACCTACAAAATTTTAGGCGATTCGTGGCCGGTCGCCCGAATACATGAAGATGGCATGGACATTAGCACACGAAAAATTGGAAATTGTCCTGAATTCTTGTTTTATGGCTCTAATACGCGAAAAAATGAGGAACGGTCATGGCGAAGCAATGACTATTATTTATTAGGTTGTTTCTAATGGGACCTCAGAATTTTAGGCGATTAGGTGCCGGTCGCTCGAATTTATGAAGATGTCGTGGACATTAGCACACGAAAAATTGAAAATCGTCTTGAATTCCTGTTTTATGGCCCTAAAATGCCAAAAAAACGAGGAACGATCATGGCAAAGCAATGACTGTTATTCGTTAGGTCGTTTCTGATGAGCCCAAGAATTTTTAGGCGATTCGGGGCCAGTCGCCTGAATTACATGAAGTTAGAGTGAACATGAGCACACGAAAAAATTGAAATCGGCCTTAATTCATGTTTTATAGCTCTAAAACGCCAAAGAACACGGTATAGTCATAACGAAGCGATGATTATTGTTCATTATGTCATTTTTATGGGCCCGCAAAATTTTAGACGATCTGGGACCGGTCACCCGAATTCATAAATGTGGCGTGGACATTAGCACACAAAAATTGAAAATCGTCATGAATTCCTATTTATGCCCTAAATTGCCAAAAACGAGGAACGTTCACGGCAAAGCGAAGACTATTGTTCATTAGGTCATTTCTAATGGGCCCGGAAAATTTTAGGCGATTCGAGGCCGGTTGCCCGAATTTCGTGACGATGGCATGGACTTTAGTACAAGAAAAATTGGAAATCATCATGAATTCCTATTTTATGGTCATAAAATACCAAAATCGAGGAACGATCATGGCGAAGCATTGAATATTATTCATTAGGTAATTTCTGATGGACCTACAAAATTTTAGGTCATTTAGGGTCGATTGCCCGAATTCTTAAAGATGGCGTGGACATTGGCACACGAGTAAATGGAAATCGTCCTAAATTTCTGTGTTTTGGCTCTAAAACGCCAAAAACGAGGATTGGTCATAGAGAAGCAATGACTATTGTTCATTTGGTTGTTTCTGGTGGGCCCACAAATTAGGCGATCCGGGGCTAGTCGCCCGAATTCATGAAGATAGTGTGGACATTAGCACACGAAAAATTGAAAATCGTCCTGAATTCTTGTTTTATCACCCTAAAACCCTAAAAATGAGGAAAGGTCATGGCGAAACAATGAATATTGTTCATTAGATCGTTTCTGATGGGCAACAAAATTTTAAGCGATTCGGGACCGGTTGCCCATATTCATAAAGACAACGTGGACATTAAATGCATACGAAAAATTAGAAATCATTCCGAATTCTTGCTCTGTGGTCCTAAAATGCCAAAAATAAGGAAAGATCACGGCGAAACTATGTCTATTTTTCATTAGGTGTTTCTGATGGGCCCACAAAATTTTTGACGATTCGAGGACGGTCGCCCAAATTCATGAAGATGGTGTGGATATTAGCACACGAAAAATTAGAAATCGTCCTAAATTATTATTTCATGGACCAAAAAATGAGAAATTGTCATGGCGAAGCAATGACTATTATTCATTAGGTCGTTTCTAAACCCACAAAATTATAATCGATTCGGGTCCTATTACCCATTTTTTTGAAGTACATTTGCACACAAAAAATTGAAAATCATCTTGATTTCTATTTTATGGCTCCAAAATGCCAAAAAAATGAGGAACGGTCATGGAGAAATAATTCTATTGTTCATTAGGTCGTGTTTGATAGGCCCACAAAATTTTAGGCGATTTGGGGTCGGTCGCCTGAATGTATGAAGATGGCGTGGATATTAGCACACAAAAAAAAGAAAATCGTCCTGAATTCATGTTTTATGGCCCTAGAATGCCAAAAAATGAGGAACAATCATGGCGAAGTGATACTATCATTCATTAGGTTGTTTCTGATGAGCCTACAAACTTTTAAGCGATTCGGGGCGGTCGTCCGAATTCATGAAGACAGCATGGACATTAGCACACAAAAAATTAGAAATCATCCTAAATTTCTGTTTTATGGCGATAAAACGCTAAAAAATGAGGAACGGTCATGGCGAAGTGATTACTACTGTTCATTAGGTCGTTTCTAACGGGCCCATAAAATTTTAAGCGATTCGGGGCCCTAAAACAAGGAACGATGATTCATGGACTATAGCATACGAAGATTTAGGAATAATTCTGAATTCCTGTTTTATGGCCCTAAAACGAGGATCGATCATGCCAAAGCGATGACTATTGTTTTTTTTTATGGGCCCGCAAAAATTTAGGAGATTTAGGGCCAGTTTTCCAAATTCGTGCAGATGGCTTGGACTATAGCACACTAAAATTTGGGAATCATCCTGAGTTCATGTTTAATGGCCCTAAGTGCCAAAAAAGCGAGGAACGGTCATGCCGAAGCGATGACTATTGTTCATTAGGTCGCTTTTGATGTGTCCGCCAAATTTTTGGAGATTCGAGGCCAGTTGCGCGAATTCATGCAGATGGAGTGGACATGGCAAACGAAAATCTAGGAATCGTCCTAAATTCCTGTATGGCCCTAAAAAGCCAAAAATGATGAACGGTCATGACGAAGAAATGACTATTGTTCATTAGGTCGATTTGTATGAACCCATAAAATTTTAGGAGATTCAGGTCGGTCGCCCGAATTCATGCAGATGGTATGGACTACAACACACAAAAAATTAAAAATCGTCCTCAACTCCTATTTTATGGCCTAAAACGCCAAAAAATTGATGAACGGTCATGGCAAAGGGATGAATATCGTTCATAATAAAGTTTTTTATGGGCCCACAAAATTTTAGAAGATTCAGGGCCGGTCATGCAGATGGCATGGACTGTAGCACACAATAATCTGGGAATCGTCCTGAATTTCTATTTTATGACCCTAAAATGCCAAAAAACGAGGTTGGTCATGGAGAAGTGTTAACTATTGTTCATTAGGTCATTTTTTATGGGCCGCAATATATTAGGAGATTCAGGGCCAGTCTCCTGAATTCATGCGGATGGCGTGGACTATAGTACACGAAAATCTTGGAATTTTCCTGAATTCCTGTTTTATGGCCCTAAAATGCCAAAAAATGAGGAACGCTCATGCCGAATCGATGATTATTATTCATTAGGTAGTTTTTAATGTGAGCAAAATTTTAGGAGATTTGGGGCCGGTCATCTGAATTCATGCAGATGGCGCACACGAAAATCCGGGAATCATGTTAATTCCTGTTTTATGGTCCTAAAACGCAAAAATAAAAAATGAGGAACGGTCATGGCGAAGCAATGACTATTATTCATTAGGTCATTTTTATGGGCCCGCAAAATTTTAGGAGATTCAAGGTCGGTCTCCCTAATTCATGTAGACGACGTGGACTATAGCACCCCAAAATCTTGGAATCGTCTTACAATTCCTGTTTTATGGCCATTATACGTCAAAAAAGAAGGAATGGTCATGGCGAAATGATAGTTATTACTCATTAGGTCATTTTTTATGGGCTCGTAAAATTTTAGGAGATTCGGGGCTAGTCGCCTGAATTCATGCAGATGGCATAGACTATAGCGCACAAAATTAAGGAATCATCCTGAATTCCTTTTTTACGGCCCTAAAATGCCAAAAAATGAGGAACGGTCAAGGAAAATCGATGACTATTGTTCATTAAGTCAATTATGATGGCCCTGTAAAATTTTAGGAGATTCGGGGTCGGTCGTCCGAATTCATGCAGATGGCGTGGAGTATAGCACACGAAAATCTGGAAATCGTCCTGAATTACTATTTTGTTGCCCTAAAATGCCAACAAACGAGGAAAGGTCATGGCTAAGTGATGAGTACTATTCATTAGGTTATTTTTATGGGCCCGCAAAATTTTAGGATATTCGGGGTCTGTTGCCCAAATTCATGCAAATGGCGTGGACTATAGCGCACGAAAATCTGGGAATCGTCCTAAATTCCTTTTTATTGCCTTAAAATGACCAAAATGGAGAAAGATATGAAGGACTTTGTACGAAGATGCGACACCTGCCTGAGACACGCACCGATGACCCACCAAACGGGAGAACTGTTTCATTCGGTTTTGTCCCATGGTCGTTTATGAAATGGGGAATGGACATCGTCGGTCCCTGTCGTGGGCACCTGGTAAGGATCAATTCATACTATTCACGACTGACTATTTTTACAAATGGGTCGAAGCTCAAGCGTTTAAAAAAATCTGGGAAATGGAAGTCATTGACTTCGTCTGGGACCATATAATAGGCCGATTCGGTATACCATCCGAAATCGTTTGCGATAATGGAAAACAATTCATCGGTAGCAAGGTAAATAAGTTCTTCGAAGATCACAAGATTAAGAAAATATTAT